GAAACAGCATGGCATGTTATGTGTTGTGATACCACACCATTCACTAAGGCACTCAAAGTGCTCTGTGGACATCAGCTCAAGTCACATTTGTGAGGCAGGGCCTAAAGTAGGAGGTAGTGAAAGGCAAACTCCTGTAGCTCCAACAAAGGTGAAGAGAGGTGAGAGCGTACCGCCTTCTGACGCAAAAAGAGGAACAGAGGTGATCTTTTGCCTTTAGTAAAAGAGGAAAATAGCAGTGGTTTTAAACCCCCCCCCCCGTTTTCACTCTTTCTTTGTCTCACAGACAGAAAAAGTGGAGCAGAAAATTGCTTTGCCCAAAGCCACACACTGGCAGTAATTGAACTAGAGGACAGCATTGGTTTAAATAGAAAATGTGCAATGTATTCATACCATTCAGGCTATTCTAACTGCTCTTTCTTTCTCTTGCCCACATATACCATTTACTTTTCAACTGTAGTTGCACAACACTTTTGGTAGCAGAACTTTGTATGGATTCCCAAATTTTGAGTTGCTTTCAAGGAACCTTAAGAAAATAAGAAGGAATAGGAGGTATAAAATTCACTAAATTCTTAAGAGAGTGGCTTGAGTTTTGGGTGCTATTTTCCCAGGAAACAGATTGAGGAGGCATCTCTGACTTCTCATCCAGCAACTGTGACCCTGATTTCCAGTATAAAGCAGCTGGTGGATCTCACAGAGAGTCCAGCTACACTGTGTCATGCAAGACACTGAATATAGTGATAGTCATTGTTTTGCTCAATGTGCAGTCTTAGGTAGCTGAAAAAACCCTAAATATCCATTTATTAGATGAAAATTGAGGTGCAAACAAGTTAAGAAATTAAGCCAGTCACACAGGGGTTTGGTGGCAGGCCTCAGGTAATTCCTGTGGATTTCTGGAGATCACCCTAGTTTGATGGCATACTACCAACCCAGCTTCAGAAGAGAGACATAATGTGTTTGAAGGAGACCATACAGCAAAGCAGAGACTGTTAGAGACTCAAAGCAGAAAATGATGGAAGCTTAAAAGATACACGCCTCCTTCTCTAAGGAAGCTGGTTTTGTACCAGAAACGAGATTGAGGTCCACCAAATCATACTTTTAAGTCCAAGTAGATGCCTCAGACTGATGGAATTGACTTTGTTCTCAAGGAGGGGCTAAACAGCAGTGGTTGCATTGAGTCACAATGAAGAAAGAAAGTCTCACACACCTTTTGTGGTAAATGAGATCAGACAGCACAGCTGCATTAAAGGACCTGGCGAAAAACACCACAATGGTAGGTTAATATCCAGCTGCCCATCAAGTGGGTGCCATTTCAACATGGGAAAGTAATTGTCTGCAGGAGCTGTTATGTGCAAAATCCTATTATGGGCAAAAAGAAACCCACCCTACGTGTAAAGTCACACAAAATTTATTATTCGTATAATATCAGCTTTAGCAGTACAATCAAAGAATTATTATTAATGCAGATCTAATTATTGCAGAAAAAGAAAAGAAAGAAAAAGAAAGAAATTGCACGGTAAGCCTCAATAATAATATTACAGTTAAAGCTGATACGCACGCACTACCTAGTACCTACCTCTTCTCCTGGTGTCGTGCTTACCCTTTCAGCTCCCTCTGCCTCCTCAGACTGATGGCTTTTGTCTGCTGGAGAGAGGATGGTGGATCATCATCATCCAGAGGGCTCTGCCAAGAGAAATGTGGTCTTGGTGTTTACAGTTACTTCTTTCTCTCCTTTTCCTCTTTTAGAAATAGCTCTCACCTGGGGCTATTTTTACATGTTTTCTAATAAAGTTTTACACCCTGCTTTTTCTTCACTGATCTGCAACTATGTATTTTTTTTATTTTATTTGTCTTAGGTACTTGTTGTTTCTTTTTTTCTACCCTTAAACATAGTTTTGTTCAGCTCTGGGTCTGCATGTCCTTAAATGACCACTGGCAAGCTGTTCATAGCCTTGGGGTCTCCAGTGCCCTCCTGTGCCCCATCTCTTATCTCATGTCAGTCCTCTACACTGCAGCTGGCATCTTCATCTCTCAAAACAGCCATAGTCTCCTGTGATTAGAAAAAATGTTGTTACAGCTAAATCAAGTAAAACCAAGGCTCCAAGATCAGGGAAGGTTCAGACACAGCAGATGTGATAAGCCTCCATCCTGAGGTCTTGTAAAGCCTGTGGGCTGTTACTAGCAATAGCAATACAGTTGCAGCATTATTACCAGTATTACTGGGCTCCATGCTGGTTATTACTTTGCAATTCTGGATTAAAATCTCTATGTTGCACACTGTATGTAGCAGCAGAGGCAAATGTTTCCACAAAGGGCATGGGAAGGAAGCAGGAAGACTGCTGACTAGAAAACAAGCTATTGCACCTGAACTCTTTAGTTTTATGAGCACAGTTCATAGTCCATGCTCGCTCGGCTGAGACACGCTGGGTGTGTATGCTGCAAACACGGCCACAACAACCTGATATCACAATTTCTGTGTGGCAGTTGAATCGGAGGCCACAATAGAGGAGCGTAATGATGACTCCTGATTTTAGAGTTTATTTCAAGGAACTGGGGAATATTAAGCACTCTCCAATAGATATTCTCTAAGTATAGAACAGGATAATTATTTGAGCTTTTGTCTAGTCACAGAAGAGGAACTATTTAAAGCAGTGTCAGGTCATCTGTTTCAAGCATATATTCATGGCAGAAAGGAATGAGCATTTGGCTTTGAAAAAAGTAACTTTAATCAATTTTTTCATCAGTATGGTCCATCATGTTATTCAGAAATGGCTTCTTTCAGTTAATGGATTGTGAATCAATAGTAGATATAAATAAAGCAGTACAAAGGACACAGCATTCAACAAGCTGCCAATCGCTGGAGCAGAAGACAGCAGAAATCAGTATCCCAAGATTGATACACAAATCAGAAATGGGCAGATAATACACAAAGATGCCTCCTTTTTACAGAAACTCCAGAGTTCTGCCTTGTCCCAAGAACCACTGAAATGAATATAATTTTATGCATGTTTTATAAAGGGGTCAGTACGAGACAGAGTTTGATCTGAAGTCTTGTTTTTCACTAAACATTTTTGAGCTCATCCCTCTCAGAACTTGCAGAGTTCTTGAAATACAGCAAATGAATCGTCAGGCTGCCAAAGATCCTTCTGGAGCCAGGAGAAAGAGAAAAAACTAAAACCTGCAGACTTTGTGCTATACCTCAAAAGGATCAATTCTTGAGATATACTGAATACCCGCAATTCCTGCAAGGTCAGTGAAAAGTGCTATTACTCAGCACTTTTTAGGATCTGGCCTCCAACAGAAAGAGGAATAAAAGAAGTTTTTTCAAGCACACAGACCATAATTAATTTGTATTAGTTCTTCACATCAGGACAATCTTACTTAAATGTCACTAGTAAGAACCTAGAATATGACTCATATTGTGTCTATCATAACTGTTAATTATTAATGAATAAATACAACATTTGGGACCTAGATAATATTTCCAGGACATTTGTGTGAATAGTTGTTTTCAACTGTGAGCATGCCAACTGCCAGGAATTCAACATCCTTGGCTATTTCATAACTATCAACCATATATTAGGTTAATTTGAAAAATTTCATTACTCTCTTATCAAAACTATGAGCTTAGAATCTGCTCAAAAAATGTGATTCTCATAGCACAATTTGAGCCTGTAGATTACACATTCAGTAATGGTTTTTTTAAATAAAGATAAGGACAGAATATTTGTAAGTACTGACCCATAATTTAAGATTGCACAAGCTGGCATGCTTGCTAACCACAAAGTTTTACAGCTTTTCCAAAGGAATTTATTATTTAAATGGGCATTCAGGATAATTACTGCAAACCATGTAATTGTCTAATCTCACTTGGAACCCTTCTAAATTACTGACTTCAAAAACCATGATGCTGCAGTAAAAGAGAAACTTGACTCTTAGGATGAATGCTGTTCAATCAGTTTTGAATTTGCCACATTTTAATGCAGCTGTTCTGTCCTTACTGCCTTACAAGGCAGAATTTCCCATTATATCTTCTTAACACCATCTGTTAATAATGTTTATTACAGTAACAAATGTGCCAACACTGTATATAAAAGAAGTATAAGCTATTCTCTGCCTGGCAGATTCAGTAGACAAAAAGCTGGAAGGAGATAACAGGGACAGAGGGAACAATGCGATGGCAGCGTACATCGTACCATTTTTATTTTGCTTTCATTTGAATGCTTCAGTCCTTTTCCTGAGGCTCTGTTATGAAAGAATTGAGTAGACAAGACCAAGGTAACAAGGACACAGACCAAGCAGCCCATCAAAACGCATCAGAGGAGATTCAGAGTGCAAACTTCAAGCAAGCAACCCAGTGGTGCTGCCTTGACTTCAGCTTCTAGATGCGCCTCACTTTTTATTGCCTGTACAGCCCATGTTCAGTCCTAGTACTGCCTTTAGCATCCCACCCTTACACTCTCTGTGTGAGGGGGATGGACTTTCTTATTTAGTACCTACTCTCTAAGAGGCTAAACATTCAGTGAATTTGTGCTTTCAATATATTTGTTAGCTAGAAGGCATTGCTATTTTATAGATAGAAAAGAGAAAGACAATAATTGTCTGGCTCAGGGAATCTGGGAACAAATAAGTACATCTACAGCATTCTTCTTTTTGTCTATAAACTTTGCTTCCTCAAGTGTACAATAGCTAATACATGTAATACTTTTGTCATTATTTTGTAGTAAGGAACGTATGTATTACCCCGTTTTTGTTAATAAAACCTTCCAGATTATACATCTTCAGTGGATGAATGTTAAGAATTATTCTGAGCACACATAGATGAATATGGATATATAAAACACATACTCATTATCACAAAGCAGTCTCCTTCTATTTAATGGGATTGGCAACACCAGCACACAAGTGAAAGTCTTTCTTACACTGTACCTCCCAAACCATTTAAGTACATTAATGCTTAGAAATGAAAAAGAGACAAGAGTTGAAAGCCAGTACAGTATCCAGGATATAATGTCTTCTTTTCAAAATTCAATCAGATGAGTGTAAGGTCCGTTTGTGTCCAGTTTGAACACCTGCCTGTTTCCATACGTGCCGTGCTTGACAAGAACACCTGCTTCCACGCATTTGGCATTGGCAGCCAGTTCTTTTTCACACAAAGTCACAAACTGAGAATAAAGTTCCAGCCCTTTTTCTTTTTCAATGTTTGCATGGTACTGCATCTTTCTTCCCTTCAGTTTACCACCCAAGGTAGCCTGTGGTATAATTAGCACATCGCCTGGTAAATCCAGAACAGAAAAGTACTCGCCGCTTTCATTTTCACTTAATTTAACATTCAGCAGCATATTGACTGCAAATAAAAATAAAATGAGAGTTAGCGTAACTAAAGTAAATTAAACAGGACCTAATATAACACCATAAACAAGATGCAACAAATATGGCAATGTGTGACAAACTATTCAAATAAAAGAAACTGCTTATTAATGAAATGAAACATGGTCACTCAATAAACACTATTAATCAACTAAGATGTTTGAGTATTGTGAAGAATGTGAAGGATATTTATATTAATATAATATATTTATATTAATATAATATGTCTAAAGGTGGGGGAAAGTGGTTGGCTGCCTGAATTCCTAAAGCTGATTCTAGCTGGAACATCCAAAGGAACCCAGGACCCAATTAGTGTATCTAACTTAATTGCCTGACAGGCAAAATTTGCACAACACTACACATTGGAGGAGCCGATACCGCCTTCGGTGCACTTTGGAGAAGTTTCTGCCCTGACTTTTCCTTCTGGTTGCAGTGGCCTGCAGCAGGACCCAGCGCTGACCTGGGCTGAAGCCACAGCTCAGCAGTTTGGTCTCAAGTGGAGTGAGTGCCCTTCAGGGCTCCACTTCCAGACGTGCAGGTGCCAGCTTCTCTTTTGAGAGAGGAGACGGGCAGCAAGATCAGAGATGCAATTTGGCCCATAAGCCAGAATATATAAACTTGCAAATAAAACTGATGCATTTACTAGCATTGGATTTTGAATGTTTCTTTAACAAATCAAATTATTCCCCCAAAATTTCCTCCAACTCTGTAAAAGCTGTGAGGATCCTAGTCATGGCTCGAGACCTATAAAAGTTTAATGTTGTTTGAAGCAAAAAGAGCTGAGTTCTGATTCAGGAACCAAAACCACTCAGTTTCAAAATATATTTAGGAAAAAATATTCTGTAAGATAGATGCTTAAGGAGGATGATCATAGATGAATCTCCTAATAGGAAACAGAACTTTCTTTTTCTGGGCTGTTTCAGCTGCCACGCAGCTGAAAAGGACATTATTCTCAACTAACACTCCCATGAAACTCTCACAAGCACAAAATCAATTTTCATATCACAGCTTTAAATACACCCGAAGATTTCAACTTAGTTTAGCATCACAGAAAGATTGTGCCCTCCGAGACCAAGAAAGAACCCCCCAGGACCTGCTCTCAGCATTTTCAATAGCACCTGTGCTTGTGCCCTGCCAGGTCTTTCTGCTGGCCCCAGCAAGCAGCCTGAAATAGACTCCTGTTACACAACCTTTTGTGAAACCACTAATATCAGCCAGCCACAGAAGAGAAAAGGGGCACTTTTATCTGGAATAGGTGGCATCATGGAATTTCCCAGGTGATCCAGTGCTACTGATGGAGGAAAGCAGGGAAAAGAGATGAAATAAAAGTAGAAAAGAAAACCAAACCAAACAGAAAGCCTCAAGCCGAAACAAGTGAGTCAAGAGAGAAATCACTACCATTTGACCTTATCCACAGCATCTTCTCCACTTTGATGTAAATGTTAAAGTGCATGTGGAGAAGAGGGAAAGAACTGCAGATATTGTTACCACTTCTCAACCAGAAAACCGCACTTGAAATGCTAAGTGTATAGAATAGCTCTGAAATGAGATGGGAAGGACACTCTTTAGTTATCCACCCAACTCCCTCTACTGGCTATAACTTTAAATATCCTCCACATACACCAAGATCACTGTTATAATACTCCTTAGATCAAGTCATGAATTATTTTAGAACACTTTCCTCTAAATTCAGTTCTGTCCTGGACTGAACCTGTTGCATTATACATGTAACATGTCAAACATACATCGCTTTCTCTGTTTGCTAGAATGTTTTCATCATAAGAATAGATTTTCTAAAAGGTTGATCATGAGCAGATGGACAGAGTGAGAGCTTTGGACAACTGTCAAAAGAAGCAAGATGGACCAAGCTCTTCTTTCAGACAGGTGGTTGATTTGGATTGATGCTATCTGACGGCTTTTTGACTACTTCTTGTCCAAACAGCTCCTTCCTTCTCTGCTTCTACTGCTTTTCTTCTTTTTCAAATGATACAAGAATTTATAAGGATTGTATCATACCTATTTTTGGAACAAGATCCTCATCAGCACCTTTGAAGAAGCATATGTAGATAACAAGCCCTCTCTGGATCTACAAAAGATTATAGAAAACTATGTCAGTGTTTCTCCTTGTCCACCACACACACTTATCATTAAAACTGTTAATAAAAAATGACAAAACTATACAACAAAGCAGCTTCTGAGAGTAGTTTTAGTCATCCAATACACCTTCAGACATCAAGTTCACACACCACACTGTGGAAGCCTATGAGGTATATACCGATCATCTGCACAGTGCCTCCACTGTGCTGCAGACCAGTGACGAGTGGCATTCCTCAGGGGTCGGCACTGGGACCGGTGCTATTTAACATCTTGTCAGTGACATGGACAGTGGCATTGAGCGCACCCTCAGCAAGTCTGCTGACAACACCAAGCTGTGTGGTGTGGTCAACACATTGAAGGGAAGGGATGCCACCAAGAGGGACCTGGACAGGCTTGATTGGTGGGACTGTGCACACCATATGGAGTCCAACAAGAACAACAGCAAGGTCCTGCACCTGGGCTGGGGCAATCCCACAGGCTGGGCGGAGAAATCAAATACGATGACCAACAACTATTAAGTTGTTTAGAATATTAGAAAGTTGTTGAAAATACTATAAAGTTGTTCAAAATATTATTTAGCAGTTTAGGTGAGATCCTTCTGGTGAAATGGGACCTTTCCCCTGGTTTGTATAGAGTAAATGATATACTACTTTAGCATTCAGAGAGACTACTCTTGTAAGAACTACCTATCTGAGGGAAGAATTAGGCCTGTACTGAGGAGGAAGCACAAAGAAATTCTTGTGTAACTTTTCGACTCTCTTGGTTAGTTCACAAGGAATTAATGTGCAACAACCTGTGCTTTATTAAGACAAACTGACAGGCTCTGCAGCCAACAGCAATTACATCTCATGCTCTTCGGTATACCTGAACGGTTTAACTTCTTCAGAAAAATAAAGACAGGCATACAATATCCATAGGCATGCAGTATCTAAAAAAAATCACCAGTGTTTTGTCAGGAGTAACTGTCTTTTTATTTTTGTTAGAAGAAAAATAGATGTCAGCTTATAAAATACTACCTAAGAGATGGTAACTACATTGGGGCAGGAAGGAATCATTAATACTGACATTATCAAAGCAAAATGACAAAAATGTGAATAGTTTCTTAAAAATACCTTTTTTTTTCCCTCTCTCTTTTCTTTATATTTCCTCTCCCCTTTTCTTTAAAAGATAAAGGGTTCTGGTGAAGAAAACTTAGCTGTACACAAGAGATTTTATTCCTTTGCTATTGCAGAGATTAAACGAAATGCTCAAGGCAACAACTGAGAAGAGCTATGCCTTCTCAACTGTTTTTCTAGTGACTAACTTCAGGAAAAAGAGAATTCTTTTCATAGCCAAAACATCACATGCTGAGAACTTTCAAAAGCCTTGAATGGCTCCTTTCAAAACTCATTTTGACCACTGAAGAATATCATACAGGTTCCCAAATGACCGCTGCAGTCCATAAACATTGTATGAAATTTGATGGCCTGAACCTCAAATGATATTCCAAACCTGTTTGAATAAAAGAAAGAAATTAAGGGTGCCATAAGTTAGATATTTGTTCTAGAAACAGACCAGCACCAGGATATTAACAGAAATAACAGCGCACACATGTCTGCTAACAGAAATGTTTGAGAATAAATAGGCCAAATGTATTTACACTGTATATATCTGATCACTGCATTAGACCTGACTCCATGGTATAGCACGTATCACACAAAGTAATCCTAATTCTGAGACTTTTGTGACTGGTTTTTTTGCACAGTCTCACATACAGAAGTAACAATATTTTTTGCAAGCAGCTAATTTAGAAAGACAAAAAGGTAAATAAAGTGACATTGGCAAGTCTTAAGGCCAGGAAGCTAAAGATTAAGTAGAAATATTCATTATATTTCAAGCCTCTCATGAATTGATGCCTATTTTTTAATATAGCTTTTATCACAAGATGAGACATACACATTGAGGGAAATTAGAGGTACAGGAAGTTAAATGAAAAAAGTAATTCAGAGACAAGTTAAAGCTGCTAGAGGATGCTTGTATTTGTATTGCATGTTTACGATCTTCTAGAACACTTTTCAACCATGTTATAGTTGAAAAATACTCAACTACCTTTAAGGTGAAACTTAGGGTTGAACCGCGCAGTAGAACAATATTTTCAACACATGTGCAACTGTTTTTCAGCCACTTGTTATGGCCCACTTTTTTGTTCTTTAGTTTTCTTAATTGAACAGAAGATGTAAAATTGAATGCAATTTCAAAAGTTAACCTAATAATAATGCACATCAACCCTCTGATCTTATGTCAGGGGTTCAGATGTCCTAAAACTTGTGCTGGTTGCCAGTGTAAGGAACGGGGACACGTAAACCTTTTGAACCAAAGCAAAAACATTGCCAGTGCTGAAGGTCCCCTGTAACCTATCAAAGTCAAGCTGACAGCCCCTCAGAGCTATATTTAACATAGGAAAAATCAAGCAAAATGGCACAGATAGGAAGGTTACAAACTCAACACGCTGACATGCAAACAGCCACTGCAAGGAACTTGCGTAGTGACAAGCAGGCAGCTGGGCAGGGAAACTGCTCTATGTGGATCTGCTGTTATCAGTAAAATGCCTACACAAATAAACCAGCAAAGCATTTACTTTGCAACACTGGCATTTATTATAGAGCTGTTCTAAGCCATCATCAGAACAGCCAACCTGCACCATGAAGGGCTGAAGTACCCAGGCCCTAAGGCCATCCAGCCAACCTCAGCAATGCTGCCTCCAAACAAGGGGTTTTAGCTCCTTTGCAGAAAAAGCAAAAAACTGAACGCTCCCTCATCCTTCTGACTAAATGCATTCATCTGAGTTTTGCAGGATTTCATTAGCAAAACCCAATATTCTGCCAAATGTTATCTCAACTCTATCTTTTTTTTTTTCCCAGGAAAATGTAACACAACTGATAATGAAAACAAAGACACTTGAATCCTTAGGAAGCCACTTTGTGGAACTAACTTTTATAAACTGTTCTTTGACATTTCCACTTCAAGTTCACATTTTCTACTCCATGAGATTTCTTCATGTTTCGTACATTCAGCTGCAGCAAAGAGAGATTACATCATCCACCACAGGTCACAGAACAAGTCTGTGCCTGGTACTTTGCACCTCTTTTTCGTATCTTAACCAGAAGATAAATCAAGGAAAATAAGATAAGGGAAAAACAGTTCTCACTGTATAAAGTGTAGGTACATTTTGTTTCTTTTCCATGTTTCTTTTCTCCCATGGTTGTGAAATACACCAAATCTTATCTTATTTCTCCTTGTTTAAAAGAAGAATTCCTTTTTTCCTCTTACGTATTTTGCTGCATACATAAACCCACTATGGACGCTATCTAACCAACATTTCTGCATAAAGAAAGAATCCCATCCCCCAGCAGTCCTCAACAGGCCAGAAAAAATCAATCATGAAAACACAATGAAGAGCAGAGATTCATATATAGATAGAAAGTACACTCCTAACCCTTTTCCAAATAAAGAACATCTGCTCTGAAGTTCCTAAAGTACCTACAGGGGTCTCTTAAAGCTCAGAAGCTATTCAAAGCCACCTACATAATGTGCTATTTATGGTATACTAGAAATTTCTCAAGGTGAGGACCTACTTTCAAGTTGTTTCAGATAATTAGGAACACACTGGTTTATGTAAATAACAGTTTATGAGGTCTGTATTTTTTATTTTTGCATTGACATACAAATGCAGGGAGAAACATTACCCTGCCAGAAAATGAAGGCAGGAAAGATTCCTTCCAATGACCTCTGAAGTAGTCACACTAAAGAAACTACAAACTTCCCATAGGTTTTTGCTGCACAGCAACCAGTTCTCGTTACAACAGATTTCTCCTAAAAAGACCCAGGTATTCAGGAAAGACCATGACAAATACTAGTAAGGTTCATGCCTGAAAAATATCTGCTGCTGAAACTGCCCAAATCTCTTGCAGATTCCTTCAGTGGAATCTATTACTTTCTCAGTGATTTTGGTTAAGCCATTTAAAACTTCAAATAAGAGATATAAACAGCATAACCTCCTTGTAATAGAGTTAGTCAGGATATCACTAAACCATAACATATGCCTCTTTTCAGATAGTTTAAAAGGCAGCCAGCAAAATGACATTTCAGCTTGTATTTACTAGATCTACAATTACTTCTGAGATTAGCAAGCTAGAAATAGGATATTTCTCCCAAAGTTAATTTATGCTGTGCTGAGCAACTTTCACTATAATTAACCTTACACTGAGAGGCTAATAATGCAATACACACAGATGTGCTGCAGCCAAACGCAGTATCTGTGAGATGACACGTATTTCCTTAGAGTAAAATGTTCTGGTTTCCCAGATCACGCTGCAGAAACTAGGTCTTACGGATCCACCTGCCTTTTCCAAACAAGGAGAGAAATGGTTTAAGAACAATACGAACGTCAAACAGTGGAAACACCTAAGGACAGACTCTTTTTAAAAACTCTCTTCAGATTTATTGAGAGAACTTGTTAGACCTTTAAACACAGTAGAATTTTTGCTTTTAAAAAGTTATGCCAGTGACTATATTCAGCTCTTTCCATTGTAGCAGTAGTCTTCAAGAAAGACAAAAGACTAAACAAAAAAAACCCCAAGAGCTACAGAGTTGACACCTGCACAGATGAGTTATTCTAGTGCAGGTCATCTGTAAACAGTGACAGCTACAGCAGGACAGGGCATCCCAAAGGGCAGCCTACATGCTTGGGTAAACAGCCCCTGGCTGCATGCATAGCACATAGCCTAAAGAGTCTGCAGGCCTACCTACCTCTTCCAACAGAAGACTATGGGAGGAAAAAGGGGAAATTATTATATTTCCCTCAAGCTATGCAGTGGTCTACATCCTAAATTTAATTTCTGGTTAATGGTCTGGAAAAAAAAAAAAAGATCAGAACTACTGCTACCATAGTACCATTGTTCTGCTGGGCCTTTCTTCACCAAGTGCATACTGTCACACAATTAACAAAGTACACAGCTGAGCCCATCAGCCCAGTCTGCAGTATCTCGGTGAAAGTGTATTTAAGGAAGGGCACAAAGTGCCAAAATCACAGAATATCAGGAGTTGGAAGGGACCTTGAAAGATCATCCAGTTCAACCCCTGCCAGAGCAGGTTCACCTAGACCAGGTCACAAAGGAATGCATCCAGGCGGGCTTTGAATGACTGCAGAGAAGGAGACTCCACAACCTCTCTGGGCAGCCTGGGTCAGTGCTCTGTAACCCTTACAGTAAAAGTTTTCCCTTATGCTCACATGGAACCTCTTTTGCTCCAGTTTGCACCCATTGCCCCTTGTCCTGTCATTGGACATCAGAGAGAAGAGCCTGGCTCCTTCCTCCTGACACTCGCCCTTTACAAATTTATAAACATTAATAAGGTCGCCCCTCAGTCTCCTCTGCTCCAAGCTAAACAGACCCAGCTCCCTCAGCCGCTCCTCAGAAGGGAGATGCTCCGCTCCCTTGGTCATCTTTGTGGCTCTGCACTGGACTCTTTCAAGCAGTTCCTGTCCTTCTTGAACTGAGGGCCCAGAACTGAACACAATATTGCAGATGTGGTCTCACCAGGGCAGAGCAGAGGGGAAGGAGAACCTCTCTGACTTACAACCACTCCTTCTGATACACCCCAGGATGCCATTGGCCTTCTTGGCTGCAAGGGCACATTGCTGGCTCATGGTCATCCTGCTGTCCACCAACACCCCAGGTCCTTTTCTGCCTGGCAGCTCCAGCCACTCATCCCCAAGCCTGTAGCGCTGCATGGGGTTATTGCAACCGAAGTGCAGGACCCGGCACTTGGCCTTGTTGAAGCTCATACAGTTGGCCTCAGCCCATTGATTCAGCCTGTCCAGGTCCCTCTGCAGAGCCTTCCTACCCTCAGGCAGAACAACACTCCCTCCCAACTTAATGTCATCTGCAAAAAGGGAACAAGGTTAGAGAGGAAGGAGATGCTCTGTGGTAGAAGACCCATGCTGGAGCACATAATAAGATTAAGAAGGAGCAGCAAACTGCCATGCACTGACCCCAGCCTCCTGTGTTGCTTCTTGCCTTGCTGAAGGAACTGTGTGTAACCTGCGGTGATAACAAGGGAAGAAGCAGAGGACTCTGGAGCAGAAGCCAGGGATGGGGTAGGTCTCCAAAAGTGAAGCTTAGCCTGGGAAAGGAGGAGGGGTGTTTCCCCCAAATGTCTTTGTCTTTTTTCCCCAAGTATCCAAATATTTATGCTAACTGGCAAAAAATTAACTCATATTCCCCAAGCCAAGTCTCTTCTGCCCGTGATGGTAAGTGGCAAGTGATTTCCCTGGCTTTACTCTGACCCACTTGTTTTCTTAGTCCTTTTGTTCCTACTTCCCCCTCCCGGCCGGGTGGAGAAGTAGCTGGACTGCTGCTAGGCCGCTGGCTGAGCGCAGACCCCACCCGGGGACAGCTACCAGCAAAGCCGGCTCTGAAGGAGAGTACAGCCCGCGAATCACACGGGGCTCTCCCGGAACTCCATGGGCGCTACTGATCCGGCCCCACGCAGGGAGAAGCCGACAGTTTCCCCCTTGCTCGCAGTACCAGGAGCGCCCTCTGTGAAGGCGGACGTGCCCCCACCTCACCAACCGAACCCCCTTTGCTC